TCAAAGATAAGGAAGAAACCAGTAAGGTGCAGCACGGTTCATGCTGCAATAGTCACAGTCACTGACAGCTGCTGACACTTATCACAGCCTGGGCACTGGGCCGAGCGCTTTCTGACGGTCCTCCCGTTCTGTCTTCACCTGGATGCTGTCCTCCCCACGTGCAGCTGGGAAACAGGCTTAGAGAGACTAGTTAACTTGCCCTAAGCACACAGCCGGTGAGTGGCGGAGCTGGGACTCAGACTCACGTCTGTTGAATTCCAAAAGGCCACTCTGAGGGCTGTGCAGCAACATTAGGGAGAGCCTGGGCAAAGGGTGTGGAGGTACGAGCCGGGGGCTGCCCGAGACAGCAAGCGGTGAGGTGAGCTGGAGGGGGCAACCTCAGGCAGCCGACAGACCAGACCTGGGGCTTTTGCTTGGTCCCTCACTTGCTGCTCCTTTTGGTCTCTGAACCCTGGCTTCCCCATCGGAAGGGAGAAATGGGGAAGGATCCCGCCTTCAAAACTGCAAGTGTAAGTATGGAGGTTCCTCAAAGCGTTGAAAATAGAGCTGCCCTATGACCCAGCAATTGCACAACTGGGTATTGACCCCAAAGATACAAATGTAGGGATCCGAAGGGGTACGTGCACCCCGATGTTTATCGCGGCAATGTCCACAATAGGTAAACCGTGGAAAGAGCCAAGATGCCCATCGACAGATGAATGGATAAAGAAGAGGTGGTATATATACACAATGGAATATTATGCAGCCATCAAAAGGAATGAGATCTTGCCATTTGCAACGACGTGGATGGAACTGGAGGGTGTTATGCTGAGCGAAATAAGTCAATCAGAGAAAGACATGTATCATATGACTTCACTGATATGAGGAATTCCTAATCTCAGGAAACAAACTGAGGGTTGCTGGAGTGCTGGGGGGTGGGAGGGATGGGGTGGCTGGGTGGTAGACATTGGGAAGGGTATGTGCTATGGTGAGCGCTGTGAATTGTGCAAGACTGTTGAATCACAGATCTGTACCTCTGAAACAAATAATGCAATATATGTTAAGGAAAAAAAAAGAAGATAGCAGGAGAGGAAGAATGAAGGGGAGTAAGTCGGAGGGGGAGATGAACCATGAGAGACGATGGACTCTGAAAAACAAACTGAGGGTTCTAGAGGGGAGGGGGGTGGGGGGATGGGTTAGCCTGGTGATGGGTATTAAAGAGGGCATGTTCTGCGTGGAGCACTGGGTGTTATGCACAAACAATGAATCATGGAACACTACATCAAAAACTAATGATGGTATATATATATGGTGATTAACATAACATAATAAAATAAGAAAAATGTAGAATAAAAAAAACTGCCAGTGTTTACTAGGAGGACAGGGTGTGGAAGAACATTCTAGGAAAGGGGAGCAGCATGTGTAGAAACTTAAAGTGGTAAAATTTCAAGGCATGTTTGAGGACTGAGAGGGGTGCTGGATTGTAGGGTTCCTAGAAGAGAGGAAGAGGGGCAGGGCCCACAGACAATGGTGTCGGGGACCTCGGGGACCAGTCTAGTGACTGCCACTCCCTCCCCGCTATGCATTCTTGTTGGGGGAGGCAATGGACTGACGATTTCTCTGGATAAGTTGTGAACAAGGGCTGCATTCCTGATTAACCTAGTCCTGAGCTGACCCAGCACCACTGTCTCTAGTCCCAGCTCTGGCCTCAGGGAGCATCTTAGCGATTCTGGGCTGAGGCAGGCACTTCAGGGAGTCAGGCAGCCCCTGGAATGGAAATGCTTTGGGCTGGGGAATGGAGATGGTGGGAGCAATGTGGAGCCAGAGAGGATGGGGGCAAATGAAATTAAATCCTCAGTGTCTATCGAGGCTAGCACTTCACACCCATGACCCCTTCAAACCTTCACCACCACACACTTGGGGTCCGAGAACCTGGCTGACCTGGTTATAGTCACATGACAGAGCTGTCTCCAGAACCTACCAGAGGCCTGAGCTTATATGAGATTCTTAGGAGAATTTCCAGGGAGTGGGTTAAACTTTCTCCCAGCTGGAGGACAAGAAAAGGCCTGAACCTTGTTCTTGGTCATGTTTTGGGCAGATGTCCCTCACTCCCTGGGCCTTGCCTGGCTTCTCTCTCTCTCGGCTCCCAGCCTGCAGCCTGCATCCCACAGGTGCACCCGTCAGAAGCCCCAGGGGTGTAGGCACAGAGGAGTAGGGCTTGGGGGCCTCGTCTTGTCAACTCCATAGCTGTGGCCCGGATCGGGGAGCCCACTGGGTCCCCGCTCCACCCAGGTCCTTCCTGGCTCACCTTCTATCAGCAGCACCGTCCCCACAGCCAACACTTCCAGCTCGCTGAAGCCGTTGGGCAGGGACCCCGATTCTGCCATGCTGGGCCCTTCTCCCTGCCAGCCCAGCTCTTCTTTGGCTCTTTAAGCTAGGCCCCACCTTTTAAAGGGCCATTCCACGTGCTGGCACACGCAGGTGATTATGCTAGGCCTTGGGCTCCTTCCTGCTGCCCCCTTCCCTAAACTGTGCTTTTGGCCAAGTAGAAGGAACGCATTCACCAGTTGGACAGTGCAGCCTTTGTGAAGCTGGAATGGAACGCTTTCTCGTTCATTTCAGCCCAATGGGGCAGGATTAAGGTCCCAGAATCCAAACGGTGTGTGGCTAAGAGCCAAATTAGAAAAGAGTTGCATAACCAAGGGAGGGGTGGGGAACAGAAAGAGGGATTTAGGCGGCAGCTGTGCCTGAGAATTGGTTTGGAGCCAGGCCCTTCCATGTGTGTCCTCACAAGCGAAGGGGAAAGGATGATAACTGGCAAGCCAGCCATTGTCATAGAAAGAATCCCAGCCAGGACCAAAGATGAAGTTTGTGGTTCTGAACCTGCCATTAACCAGCTACGTGCGCTGGGGTGGAGCCACTGGGGTCTTCTCAGTTTCCTCCTTCGCAAGGTACACAAACATCTTTTCCCACGGCCTGCGTAAGTCTTGGTTAGAATACGTCATGGATATGGCCTCCAGGGCTGTAGCTCCCAACTCCCACAGGGCATTTACGCTCCACAAACATAAAAGTCTCCCAAGGCATGAGCTTGGCACAGAGGGGCTGACGTCTTAGTGGCCCCTCAACCCGCTAAGAGCCTTGCTCCTACAAATGAGAAGTTACGCATTGGCTGACAGTGAAAATTACACCCAGAAACACTGATCTGGAGTGATTTCACTCGTTTTCAGATAAAGAAACCAAAGGCCCGGAGCTCCATCAGCAATATAGCTAATGTTTAGGCCCCGCTAGGAGCCAGGCACTGTGCTAGCTGATCTGAGAATGATTCCTACAGCAACTCCATGAATTCTTTGCATTTCATGTGAGGAAGCAGGCTCAAAGCAGTTAGGAATTGACGTGAGGTCACAGAGTGATCTGTGAACGAAGCTGAAACAACAGCCCGACCTCCTGTCCCCAGACTCTGGGTAAAGCAGCTCATTCTATTCCACAAATATTTACTTCCTGTGCTTTTCCTGCTCTTGGTTCCCACTTAATCAAGCCTAACCACCCTGCAGGGCTGAGCTGACGGCCCCCATCCTCCCGGAAACCTTTCTTGATAACCCAGTTACCCCTTTTTCCTAATTTCTATCTTGCATTACCATGTGTCATTACCATATGTCAGGTTTTTTTCATGCCTACAAGACCGCAGAAGACTTCAAGGGACACGGGAAAGCAGAACAGGGCCAGGAAACAAGGTAGAGCTCCGTTAGGCTAGAGAGAGATGGGAAGACACCCCCAACAGAAGGCAGAAAAGGCAGGTGTGGGAATAATAAGGGCTGCCCTTTTTGGTTTGGGGCGGAGGAGGGACAGGTGGGAAACATTGAGAAAAGCATATTGGCTGGATTGGAAGAGAGGAAGAGAGGGAAACCAAATTTCCTGGAAGCCAAGATTGTCAAAACAGGCCCGGTACAGAGCTAGGCGTTTTATGTGTGCGCTGGGGCCCTAGGTATCTGCTTGGTCACACCTCACTGGTCTATGCCTGCCTAAGCCTACAGGTTTGAAGGACTGGGGAACCTTCTGGAAAAGCTGAAGGAAGCGGGAAGGGCATGCCGGACCAGAGAGCAGAACCTTGAGGTCAAACGTGAAGAATGAATGAGTGAAGGATGATGTCTATGATGGGACGAGGTGGGAGGCGGGCAACAATCAGCAAAAACTGAAAGCATTTTTTCTAAGAACTCCTGAGATCCTGCTCTGGGACTTTCCTCAGAGTATGATAACCAGAGGAGAGGGATGCTCTCTGCCCTCACACAGAGACACCTCACACCTTTGGCATTGATGATGATGCCCACGAGGGCTTGGCTTGGACAGTGTGTTCTGAGACTGGATGTCCACGGGGCATTCAGGGAGGCAGCTGCTTGCTCGGCAGAATGGGAAAGTTCATGAGTCCATGGAGCACACCTCTGTGGTCTCCCCCAGATATCTGAATTTGAACCTTGGGATTTGAACCCTGACCCTTGAGCTTGGCTCTTTCTAATGTCTTTATCACCTTCATCTCAGTTCTTTCTCCCAATAAAACTGTCACAGGAGAGAATTTCCAATGGCCCTTATCATAGGCCAGGTCTGTTTTCATCTTCTGAGCCCAGGCACCCTGACACGGTCTGTGTATTCCACAGCCTGGCTGACATGGGGCGACTTTGCAGGTGGACAGCCGAGCTGGCCAGTTCATGAGCCACTTGCCCCTGGGTGGCTGCCCACCCGCCCCACCTTTCCACTCCCTGGCCTCTCTGTGCCAGGGGCCGTTGACACCGAAGAGGATCCCCCACCCTCACCCTCAGGACTGGGTGATTCCAGGAGCAATAAGCCGCTGAGTGCTGTGGCCAGGGCTCCCCTCCCTAATCCCCAGTCTGTCCCTGTTTATCCGATGGCCTCAGGAGGGGTTGTGGGGGGGCTGATGAGCCAGTGGGCAGCTGTCGGGCTTCCTGGGCTGGGACGACAGAGCAGTCCAGGGACAGGCCCCTGTCCGGGCTACAGAGGAGCCAGGAGCCATGAGGGTGGCAGTGGGCATGCTTTGGCTCCTGGCCCTCTGGGGGCACCCCCAAGCCCAGGGCTCCTGCCCCTCTCAATGCAGCTGCAGCCTCTACATCCTGGGTGATGGCAACAAGGCCAGGTATGGCACCCGGTGTGTGGGATCGGTAGCCCACCCCTGTCTCTGTAGCAGCTAGGCTGGGCTGGGAGGGCTGGATGCAGGGCCCCCAGGACATGGCTGGGTGAGACCTCCATCTTCTGGGCTCTTGAGACCCGGTGTCCTAGGGGGCTGGTCTGCTCTGCATTGTCCTGCAGCCAGCAGGGCGTGGGAAGTACCAAGTCCCTTTACACATGGGGGTGGGGGGGGCACAAGAGTGCCCACTCCGAGAAATCCGTCCTGAGTTCTCTTCCACGATCCTGGTGGCGAGGAAGCCTCTGAAGGGCAGGGGAGGTCTCCCCATTCGCTCTTTCTTTTCCTCTCCTCCCTTTCTTCCTCCCATTCCACCATCCTCCCTGTGTCTCCCCAGCCCCTTTTCTCCCAGGCCGCTTCCATTCTCTTATCTCAGCTCCTGGGGGTACACAATCACATCCCAGGTATTTCTTACCACCCCCCCCCATAATGCGACCACCTGCCTCCTCATGCTTTCCCCACTTTGGGGCTCCTCTGGCCCAGCCCCCAGGAGCCTTGGCCTCAACCCATTTCTATGGGCTCTCTGAAAGCCCAGGAGTGCCCATTCCATGCAAGCAAGCACCCCTCCATCCTCAGCCTTTTCTTTCACTTCCCCAAGCCCCACCTGAGCCCCGAGGGCACCTCCATCCTCTCCTCCTCCCCTTCCGTGGGATGTTCCAAAGCCACTGTGATTTGTGGACCCTCGCTCTTCCACCAAGGCCCACTCTCCCTTTTCTCTCTGGCAGTCTTTACACTGTCTTCTTCCTGACATCTTCACCTTATCCACTAATGACCACTGCATTTCCTGACTTGCTCAGGGATTTTAGCTCCTGGTGCAGGGCCTTTCCTACCATCTTTTCAACATTTTGGCATTGCATTCTCCCTTTCTCCCCTCGTCTTCTGATCAGGGCAGCAGGTTATCAGTGTGACTCTTACAATGATCCTGGCAATGGGTGTTGTGTTGATTGGGTGTGAGGGGATGGAGAGAATGGAGAGTCACCCCCAACAAAGGATACCCCATGTGGTCTGAAAAACAAGAAGAACTCCATTCTTGACCTAAGGCTCTGATGCTCTAACTCATATGGATCATCAGACGTAAGGATCCTCTCCCCAAGGAAAGCCAGGGCTGAGCCCTGAGCAGGCCAGGAGATAGCCCGTGGTGAGGGTCAGTGTGACCAGGATGATGAAGAGCCTCTACTGCCCCTACCTCCAACAGAAAGCACAGGGCTCAAAGTCACACAGCATCGGTGACAGACCTGGTCTTAGAATGCAGCGCTTAATAGAAAAAGGTTTAGGAAGTTACTGTCTGGGCTGAGGGATCATTGCAAGGAGCTTACAGTGCTGGAATACCAAAATTCGTGATAATGGTCAATAAATAGCTTTGCACTCCTACCAGTGACAGATAGGCAGAGCGGGTACACAACATGACCTCATTTAACCCCCAAAACCACCCTGTGAGGTGGAGTCTATTACTGGAAACTGAGGAAATAGAAGTTATATAATATACTCAAGGACACATAGCCAGCAAACAGAGAGCCCAGATATGAATCCAACTGCGGGCGCAAAGTCCTAGCTCTTAAACGCTTTAATCGTCTCTGGTCCCTGAGTCAGGTGAGTCCTGAGGTACCCAGTGTATGGCTTCCATTTCTGACGCCCGCTGAGATAGATATATATAGATATATATCTATATCTATATTTGAATTTATATTTATATTTTTTTAATGAAGAGAATCCAAAGTAGTCACCAAAACGGAGGTATAATTTAATAAAGGAACACTTTTAACACCTATGTGCAGTGCTGCAATGCACAAAATGATCTCAGGATTTATGAACACTCTTCATTCTTAGTGCACGGCAGGTGGTGTGAGGTGCATAACAGGAGATAACAGTTTAAGCTTCAGGCCAGTGATGAGACCAAAGGGCCCTCTGGGACCCCCGTGCAAGGGTCTGAAAGCAAGAACCGTCCCCCACCCGCCCGAGAAGGGAAATCAGGAGGCTGCTTGGTCCTGGCCCATGTCCAGGGCCCAGCGCAGCTCGGAGCCTGGGTTCTGGGGTCCGGTCTTCCGTGCAGACCAGGAGGCCTCGTGAAGGGAAGTCCGGGAGTGAGCGGGGCAAGAGGGGGGATCTCGGACCCGACAGGACCGTCGCTCCAATGTCCCCCATTTCTGTGACCAGGACGGTGGTGTGCAGCGACCCGGACATGACCCTGCCCCCCGCGTCCGTCCCTCCGGACACCTCCAGACTGCGCCTGGAGCGCACGGCCATTCGCAGGGTGCCCGGGGAGGCCTTCAGGCCGCTGGGCCGCCTGGAGCAGCTGTGGCTGCCCTACAACGCGCTCAGCGAGCTCAGCGCCCTGATGCTGCGGGGCCTGCGCCGCCTGCGCGAGCTGCGCCTGCCCGGGAACCGCCTGGCCGCCTTCCCCTGGGCGGCGCTCAAGGACGCCCCCCAGCTGCGGCTGCTGGACCTGCAAGCCAACCGGCTCTCCGCCGTGCCGCCGGAGGCCGCGCGCTTTCTGGGGAACCTCACCTTCCTCGACCTCTCCAACAACCAGCTGATGAGGCTCCCGCAGGAGCTGCTGGCCACCTGGGCTCACCTGCAGACCGGGCCCTTCCTTCCCGGCCACCGCACCAGGCTGGTGTTAGGTAAGGGAAGGCATCCTTTACTTGGAGCCACTTTGGGGAGCCTCGGGGCGGTGGGGGTGGGGTGGGGGTGGGGGTGGGGGCGGGGAGTCTTAGGAAAATTATTAAGCCTCTCTGAGTCACTGTTCCTTACCTGAAGAATAGAAATCACGCCTGCCTTGGGAGTTCGAGTGAAGATTGGGTGAGAGGCACACACAGGCCGCTTTGGAGCTCAAGCTGCTGCCAGTTCAAATCCCAGCGCTGCCTCTTACTAGCTGTGTGTCCCTGGGGAAATTGCTTAGCTTCTCTGTGCCTTGGTTCCCCTCTGTGAAGAGAGAATGATAAGACTATCCATCTCAAAATGTTGGAGTTGTGGGTAAAAAAACAGTCCTTAGCTCACGGTAGGTACATGTGGCAGGCACAGTGATGTGCCACCCTGGTCCCCGTCAAGGTAGGACTGGCTGCCCCGCTTTTGCAGGTGCTGTCAGTGGCTTTCAGGGACAGCCTTCGCTGCAGAGTAGCCTTGCCCAAGGCCACCCACCCTTTCTGGACACAGCTTTCATCCCAAGACCTGTCAGGTGGGAGTCAAAGGGCCCAGCGACTTGGCATGACTAAGATGAGCTATTTCAGCTCCGGAGCCCCCCAGGGGTTCACCAGGCCCCCATTCATCTCAGCTCCATGTCTCCCTCCTGCTTCCTTCCTTCCTTCCTCTCCTCCTTAATGAACATGCTGCATGCTAATCTTCATCTCAGGGTGTGCTTCCGGGAAATCCAACCTCCAACAATCTTCAAAGCCTGTGAACACTCCCCATCCCCTTGAGAGTCTCCTCGGAGCCCTAAGTATGCCTACATGGCAGGAAGGTGGTCCTAGCTCTTTGCTAATTGGTCAGTCCTTACTGGCCATCTAGCGTTAGTGTGGCCCTGAAGCTTTCCTAAATTTCTTGCCCCCTCATAGAACTTGACCCTCGCCACATCCCAGGGTAGATAGTACAAGTACAAGCCCTTTGTTTTACAGAACAGACACGACCTAAGGGTTAGTAAGTAGTGGTTTGGGCCTAAGGCTCATGTCAGATAGACTGGTTCTCTTTCCTCTGTCCTATGAAGGAATGGTGGCAGAGGGTGGGTGGTAGGGAGTGGATGGGTAGTAGCAGAAGAGAGACCTCCTAGCAGGATGTGCCTGGAGCCTTGGCTCGTAGGGGGTTCAGTACCAGGGGCTGGAGCAATCTTAGAATGGTTTGGGGCAGCTCCTGCCCTAAGGCCCAGGAGAATCTCAGGAGGAGGGAATATTTAGAGGCCTTACTGCCTGGAAGCAGGGCAGGGAACAGCAAGCCCCATTTCAGCTCCATCCACCCTGCAGACTTTCTCACCTGATAAAGGATAGTGTATAGGATACTACTTACATGGAAAAAATTGGTTATTTGAAAATAAAATTTAACTAAGTGCCCTTTAAACATATATATATATATATATGCTTTACAGAAAAAGCTAAAGACTCTTTTTTCCTTCTTCTGATTCTAATTCCTACTCCCCCTTCTAACAGGTAGCTACTGTTATGTTTATTTGCATGTTCCCTATCTTTTAGAATGCATTTACATGCATATATATATATATGCACATAGAAATTCTTTCTGTGTTTTACGTAAAATTTCATATTGTATAGAGCATATTGTATATATCAACTAGCACTAACTTTTTCACTCAGCAATATGTCTTGGAGATCTAAGTTACTACAAATGGATCAATTTCGTTTTTTGTCAACTGCATAATTTTCCATAGTAGAGTTATACTACAGTTAATTTAGCCATTCTACCTTCAATGGACCTTTAGATTGTTTCCATTATTTTACTAACACTTATGATGACACAGAACATTCTTGAAAATACATCCTTGTGCACGCAGACAAATGTTTCTCTAGGATAGGAACTGAAAGGGGAATTCTAGGTAATGGAGTATGCACATTAGACATTTTGATATCAGTCTGTGCATGCACTACCAGTAGTGCATGAGACCACCCATGCAGGTGTTCTCACTCTGAGAGTATATTGCCTATGAATGTGGGGTCTTAGTTCTAGGTGCTGGGGATACAGCAGAAAAGAAATAGATGAAAATCTCTTCCCTCATGAGGCTAATAATGAAAAGGTTTGGAATGTTTAACTTTTGCCAGTTTGAGGGGTAAACCTTTCCCTGTCATTTAACTTTGCTGTTTGCATTAATTCTTTGGGGACTCTGTTACAACAGGTGAAAGCCAGCTAGCTCACTGCCACAACGGGGCAGTGATGATTCTTGGGGTGCAGATATATCATTAAATGCATTTAATCAGTGACACAGGGTAGCAGCTACCAGAGGGATGGGTTGAGGATGGGTGGGGAAAGGAGCTAGCATCCTCCCAGCTAGTGTTCAGAAGGACCTGAGAGTCATGGATGTACAAGCAGATGAATCTAACCCCCTAACCCCAACCCTTGACATTTCCCCTTCCAACTGTATCAAATATATGTATGTAAATAAATCATAAGCCACTGATTCTCAGACATACTATTGAATTTGATAACAGTCTTTGGAGGATAAAAAGACACCACATTAAATGCATTCATTTCATATTTCAGAAATGGAAACATATAAAAAGGAATTGTGTCTTAGAAGTCAGGACACATGATACCCCTCTATCTATAGAAGGTTCTTGGGCAGAGTGGGTACAGTGACCTACTTTCATCTTTATAAAGAAGTTCAATTTTAAAGTAAAGAGGGCTGGACATGACATAGGATTTGATTTCCTGGCCTCCTCACTCCTCCCCTTTTGAGCTTGTATCAAAGGGACCATGGCCCAGAGCAGTCACCCTCATTGCTGGGGTGATGCTGAAAGTGCCACATAAGCTGGGAGGACAGAAGTCAAGGGTCAGGGGTCATGAAACATTTTGAGAAATGGATTTTGGAATATGGCAGGTACTACTACTGCTCCACAGCTAGCGAGGCAAGGAGCTGGACCTGGAGGCCAGTTCTGCTGACTCTGAGCTCAGGACACGCCTTGTCCTCCCTGAGGGGGAAGAGGAGCTGGCCGTGGGGGGCTGAATATCGAGTGCTCACTGCTTGCCTCCCTTTCCGCCCCTTCAGGGCTGCAGGACAACCCCTGGGCCTGCGACTGCCGCCTCTATGACCTAGCCCTTTTCCTGGAAGGCTGGGCCCCACATCTGGCCTTCATAGAGGCCAGGCTGAAGTGCGCCAGCCCACGCAGCCTGGCCGGAGTGGCCTTCAGCCAGCTGGAACTGAGGAAGTGCCAGAGTCCTGAGCTCCGCCCAGGGGTGGCCAGCGTCAGGTCCCCACTGGGCAGTGCGGTATTGCTGCGTTGTGGGGCCACCGGCGTCCCTGGGCCAGAGATGAGCTGGAGGAGAGCCAACGGGCACCCACTCAACGGCACAGGTGTGTGAGCTGCAGGGACCGTGCAGGCTGAGTCGGGGGAGGTCGGGGGACAGTGGCTCTCAACCTGTCTTACATGTTCCAGGAGCCACCCCATCCGGGCCCACCCTGGGAGGGACAAGATGCTGCCATTTTGGTGAAAGAGACTCTTAGTACATTTAGTATTTAGAGTAAGTGTCCAAGTGTAATTGTTAAGCCAGTATCACGAGGAGTAATTAACCATATGAGTTACCATCTCTTGAGCTCCTCACGTGTTAGGTATATTAGGCACAGTGTCATTGAACTTTAAAGAACAACCTGATTATCCTTCTTGTTTTGTAAGTAAACAGACTCTGAGAGGCTAAATGCTTGGCTTACAGCACAGAGCCTGTGGTCTTTTTGCTGTGTAGACAGAGATGGCTCATCTCTGGCCTGGGCTGGTGGGATTTGCAGGAGTCACGGCTCACCTGTGGGCAAAAAGGGGGCCGAGGAGCAATCATTTCTTAGTGCCTGACCAGAAAACCTCATGTCTCTCGCTACTTTCTTAGGCGTCTCCTTCAATTAGGTTGGCAAGTGCTGCTCTAAGACTGTGAGTTTGAAATCAGTTTACAAACAAAACTGGATCAGGATCTCCATTATGTTAAAACAGAGTTGAAAATGCTGGGATTGAGGTGGCAGTGCGTCTGGACAGGGTGGTCATGAACTTCCATCTGGGCCTCTGCCTCATGTTCACCTGATGCACCTAATCCCCCCACCCCCCAAGCGCTGTCTGCTGCCCCAAGGAGTCCGTTCTGTAGGACTCCAGGGTCCTGAGGAATATTGCTTGACCACCTCAGATTTAGAAGGCAGATCATCTTTAGACTTGGCCTGAGCCTAGGTCTCCCTACCTTGAGCCCCGGAGATCTTGATCCCCTTGGCTAGTCTAAGAACAGTTGAATGACTCTCAGTGTTTTCTTGGGATGACAAGGTCTGCTGCATATACAGGAGTATGCACAGTCCAAGGGCTGTGAACTTGGCCCTGGCAGGAAGCTGGGGGCCGAGGAGCCCATTCATTTTCCCACTTATGCCTCTTTCCCCGCAGTGCACCAGGAAGTCTCCAGCGATGGCACAAGCTGGACGCTGCTGGGCCTGCCTGCTGTGTCCCCCCCTGACTCTGGAGACTACATCTGCCAGGCCAAGAACTTCCTAGGAGTCTCTGAGACTGTCATCTCCCTGGCCATCACTGAACCTCAGGCTTCCACGGAACGGAGTGGGAGCCCAGGGACACTGTGGGCAAGGGGCGAGGGGGCAGAAGCTGCCGCGTACAACAAGATGGTGGCCAGGCATGTCCCTGACATCCCCGGACCTGCTGTCCCAGCCACCAGGTCCCCTGTGGCCAACATGAAGGGGGAGCTGAGCCTCCAGCACTTCCAAATGGGGATCCCAGGAGGGCGCTCAAGTGGGCAGGCAGGACGCCAGGAGGCCCGAATGGTGAGGTCTCTCAAGGTGGTGGGAGACACTTACCAGAGCGTGACCTTGGTGTGGAAGGCCCCCCAGGCTGGCAACACGACCACCTTCAGTGTCCTCTACGCGGTCTTTGGGCAGCGCAGCATGCGGCGGGTGGTTGTGCAGCCTGGGAAGACCAGCGTCACCATCCGTGGCCTGGCGCCCAAGACCAAGTACGTGGCGTGTGTCTGTGTGCGGGACCTGGTGCCCCAGAAGGAGCAGTGTGTCATTTTCTCCACGGACGAGGTGGTAGACGCCGAGGCCACCCAACGGCTCATCAACGTGGTGGTGATCAGTGTGGCTGTTGTCATCTCCCTGCCCCTCACCCTGCTCGTGTGCTGCGGGGCTCTGCAGCGGCGCTGTGCCAAGTGCCCCATGGGGGGCTCTGCCGAGGCCGCGGGCGCCTACGTCAACCTGGAGAGGCTGGGTCACAGCGAGGACGGCTCCGAGGAGCTGTCCCAGCACAGCCTCAGTGAGGCCGACAGGCTCCTCTCGGCCCGGTCCAGCACGGACTCTCAGGTCCTGGGCGCCAGGGGCGGCCGGCGGATCAATGAGTACTTCTGCTGAGGGGGGCGTTCCCTCCAGATGCCCACACACCTGCTGCCATCCCCTCTCCCTCTGCTCCTCCCACCTGCTTACCTGGACACCCGAGTCCACACTCACCCACTCTTGCTGGCTCGGGTACCTGATTCCTCATACATTTACACGCAGCGACGACTGCTAACTTACTAAGCACTTACGGTGTGCCAGGAAGTGTTCTAAGTGCTTTATGTACATTAGCTTAATCCGTTCTCATCACAGTCCTTTGCAGCAGGCCCTACGTGTTCTCCCCATTTTCCTGGAGAAGAAACGGGGGGATTAACCAACTTGCCTGTATCTGTCAGTTTTTTCTGTGTAACAAATAACAGCAAGATCTCAGTGGTATACAGCAACAAGCCCTTATTTTCACACAATGACAGGTCTGCAGGTTGACCGGGGTGGCTCTGCTCCATGAGTTCTATTTGGGGCCCAGGATGGAGGATCACTGGTTACTTGGGGCAGACTTCTTTCTTGGAGGGGTCAGATGATATCAGAGGAATGAGCAAAAATAAGCAACGTCTCTTAAGTTCTCAGCTTTAGAACTGGCACCCTGCCATTGCTGCCCCTATCCTATCTGCCAAAGCAAGTCCCATGGCCAAAGCCAACTTTCACAGAGCAGACAAGGACGGCTCTCCCAGGGAGGTGATGGTGGGGCAGGAAATAGTGTGCCGAGCACTGGTCTGATCCTACTACATTGTCCACAGCCGCTCTGGAATCTGGACCAGGAATTGGTTCCAGAGTTGACAGTCCTTACCACTCCCCACTCTGGCATCTGGATTACATTTATGCTAGCTTGTAGACACTCACATACACAATCTCTTTATGTTTTAGCCACATCTGTACAGTCATATACACGCAGAGACACACGCTGTGCCCTCACCGTATATGCTTAGGGATTCTAACATTTTTTTTCTCTGGGTGCCATTCTACCTACATAATCATTTGATTTTCAATAAATTCTAGAGGTTTGGATGATGCCAAAGAGACTCCTGCTTATTTACTCTCAGAATGTCAGGCTGAAGGAATCTGAGTCTGAGAGATCCTTCATGGTGGGTGGCACAGGACATTCAATGCTGTGGGGCATACAGCTCACCTCTGTCCCCATGTAGCAGCCTTTGTTATTTGACTGAAACTTACCTGGGTTCCTGAGGGTGTCTCAGGGCTTCCCAGTCATTCAGGAAGCCATTTCAAAGTAGGATTCCTGCTCAGTTTGCTTAAAACTGGGAAAGCGCTGAGATACTGTCTCTGTGCACAAGTGAAGGTGAATGTTCCCAGCAAAAGGGTCAATGTTGTGACTTGTCTGCAAGACTGAGCTCTAACAAGGGGAGCATCCAGGGTGTTTGGTGCCAAGGCCTTTAGATAACAACTGCAGAAGTTTGGGGACAGCAAGTGATCCAAGGCAACTATTTTGCTGGGATCGACTAAGAGACTCCATATTGTGTTGAACCTTTGCCAGATATGAAACAGTGTGATGGAGTGATTTCTTTTTTTTCTTGAAGATTTTATTTATTTATGAGAGAGAGAGAAGAGGGAGAGAGAGAGAGAGCAGGGGGAGGAGCAGAGGGAGAGGGACAAGCTGACCTCTGTGCTGAGTGTGGAGCCCGACTTGGGGCTCAATCCGAGGACCCTAAGATCAGGACCTGAACCGAAACCAAGAGTCAGACACTCAACTGACTGAGCCACCCAGGTGTCCCAATGCAGTGATTTCTAAAGCTACTGTACTCCCTCTCATATTTACAAAAGCCCTTGCAACATATGACCTTACAACATATTTTCCTGTTTTCTCTCATTTGATCTTTACAGCAACCCATCATGGAGGCTGAGCTACTTGATTTTACAGATGAAAAAACTGAAGCCTGATGAGTTGAATAATTTATAGGAAGTACTGATCGATTTTTCTTGGAGGGTCTAAGTCTTTGATAACTTTCTGCCAGGCTGAGGGTCTTTATTCAGTGTTGATCTCTGCAGTGTAATCTACAGCAGGTTCACTATGGAAATGGATTTTTCCAAGTCATTGAAAACCATAAGAACTATAAGGCCACCAGTACAGATGAGCATGGAATTTCCATATATGGGTATTTTCTGCCCTTCACCTGGAGGGTACATCTGACTATAACTTATGGGCCATAGCCATTGGTAAGAGAAATTATTTGGTTGGAAGATGACAAAACCACTGTCTACATCATGGGTCAACAAACATATATTTTGTAGAGAAAATCAGATAGTAAATAGTTTAGGCTCTGTCACTACTACTCACCTCCTCTGATGGAATGTGAAAGCAGCTGTAGACAATATGTAATTTAATGGGCATGGCTGTATTCCAATAAAATGTGATCTACAAAAACAAGTGGCAGACCGGGTTTGGCTCCCAGGCTGTAGTTTTCCAACCCATGATGCAGATTTATAAAGGTATTTCTGCTGTTGAGACCCAAGACTCGATTCTGATTGTTTGATATTTGAGACTGACAGGCACTCCCTAAATTAGAACAATAGAACAAATATAAGTGCAATAGGTGAAATCAGCCACTTTTTGAAATGGTGAAAATATTTCCTCTAAGTGACTGGCTGAGCCATTCAAGATTGAGAAATTATTGGCCCAAAGACTACTAACATCCAGTCAGTTTTATCAAACCTTGTTTGAGGAAAATTCAGGAACTTGAAAGTAAGAATTTGTTAGTATTTATCCAATATCACATGAATGTGTGTGTGTGTGTGTGTGTGTGTGTGTGTGTGTGTGTGTGAGAGAGAGAGAGAGAGAGAGAGAGAGAGAGAAGAAGAGAGAGAATTCAAACTTTTCAATGATTCATTAAGACCCACTTTGGTGGTCTGAATAGAATGACCCCCAAGATGGTCAACCTCCTAATATCCATCTGTCAGTCTTCCTTTGTGTGTTCTGTTTTCCTTGGTTTGCTCTTGTAGAGAAGAACCACCCTGGATTATACTCATGAATATTCACGTAACTGGAAAAAATCAATTCCCAATGTAAAAAAATAAAATGATGTCTGGTTTATATATTGGTCTTTTGGTACATGAGTCTGGTTAGTATAAGTTAGTCCCTGAAAACCTGCTTAGAGTCCAGCGAAAATAATTTCTGGTCTCCCAGTGATGAAGTCCAGCCTACACCATGGTGATCTTATAGCATGCTGTCCTTGGAAGCCTTGTTTGGAGGTTGATTGGAATTGTGGCATCTCCATCATGTCTTTTTCTGACTGCAGCGTGTTATAGTCCTTTTGACCTAGGCAGTGAGTATGTCTGATGTCACTTATCTCAAAGTATACATGTAGGTTGCAGGGTACAAAAGGCAAGTAACAGAAATTGCATCCTGCAAAGTGGACGTAGGCTACTGAAATTAGGTTATCATTCAAGGGACTCAGTGAACAGTGTGTTTAGAGGTCTTAGAGCTGGAAATTTTTGTTTTAACTCTCATGTAATCCAGTAGAGACAAAAATAAACTTAAAAGTACTTGAACATGTTATTTAATTGCAAAGGCATTGTAGTCAGGATAGGTTAGACTTATGCTATACTAACAATTACCACATTTTGGTGGCTTAGCATAGAAAGATTTATCCCTGTTTTTACAGAGTTTCTTGAGTCTGTGGGAAATGTGGATGGAGGAAGGGCTCTGCTCCATTTATTCACTCAGGGACCCAGGCTGGTGAAGACTTCACCACCTGGAATGTCAACAATTGCTGTAACAAGGGGAAAGAGAAACTAGAGAATCATGTAGGGGCTTTTAAAACATTATTTCCTCTAACATTTCATTAGCCAGAATATCAGTCACATAGCCTGCCTATTTCAAGAGAGCTTGGGAATGTAGTCATCTGTGTGTCTATCACAGGCATGCCACAGAGCATGGGTAGCCAGGAAGACATCTCATATGTGGTTGGCAGCAGAGGGAGGAGTGAGGGAAGAACACCAACTTGAGAAAGAGGAAAGATAGCATGTCTGCTTCTTGATATGTCACCCAGTTCTCTGTCTGAGCCATCCCGAAGCTCTACTAATGTTGGGGTAGCATTTTCCAAATGAATAGATAGAAAACTATCTTATTAAGGTTCTATTAAGACTAGCCAGGGAGCCACCACCAAGAAGCTATTTATATCTAATTGTTTCATAAACAGAATGACCCCCTCTCCCACGACTATCTCTACCATAACTCTAAGAGCCAAGTTCCTGAAAACATCCTGCAGGAAGGGAGATGAGGGTGTCATATTCTCAAACTTCTTCCCCTTGTTGTTAAATCTCTTGAGTTTAGGGACACCACTTAACCACTACTTATTCAAGGTAAATGACATAACCCAGATTTAATCGTCCCAGTCCCTTGCCTTAATTGGCAACACAGCTACACCGCTGTGCCCGTATGCCAAATAAGGAAACCAGAAGATAAGGGGGTCAGAAGAGGAGAAGGAGGAGTGCAGAAGTGGCCTGCATAATTCCACAGATGACATGCCAGTGGATGTTCTTCTCAAGCTTTCAGCAAACCAATGGAAGGTTAGGTTCAGCTGGATTCATTGGAAGACGATAACACAGGATGAACAGAGAAGAAATTGTGGGAATGGAGATCACTTTAGCTCTTTATATTTTGAGGTGAGAAAAATTTACTAGTGGGTTGTGATGCAATGAATTGAATCACATTTTTTTCCAAAAACCTAGCTTGACAAAATCTTGGCCAACCTAGATTTGGCAGGAATCACATTTTTTCCCAAAAAGCTAGCTTGACAAAATCTTGGTGCAAGTCTCTGGAGTAAGATCAGAGTTGCCCCCCATCAGGCCAAACTAGCTGGGCCCTTGGGTCCTCTTCACCCTCAGTTTTTGTATATGGGTTGCTTTGGAAAGGGCATGATCTCATGCAAGCAATCTTTGCAGCTGAGCATCAACCCATTCCTTGAAGGAGGTCTAGGCTGCACATCATGTCTAGCACAAGTTTTGTGCTCATTGCACTCTTGTTTTGATTTTTACCTTGAGAAGAATTCCAGAGATCTAGCCAGATT